ATTGGATGTTACTAATATTAATGAAAAATTGAATAATGAGAATGATGGTTGGGATAATACAGGGAAACATGCTAATGGTCTAGTTGATAATGGAGATGAAGCAGAATTGAACAAATTGGATGTTATTAATAATGATGAAGAGTGGGGTGATTAGAGATGGGCAAATGGTGTATAGTTGAACACTATACGATACTTTACGATACTTTATGTATAGTGCATATAGTACGTATAGTAGTGTTGAAATTTGATTGGGTGATTTTCAAATAATAAGAAAAAAAATTTTTGGCTATTATGATAAGCATAAATCTTTAATTTATTCGACCTACACTTTTTTAGGTTTTATTTACGAATCATTAATTATATTGAATGAATTAAATATCATAAAAATCAAACTGCTTTCATTTTTATTTGATTCTTCAATAAAATTTTCATCAGCTTCTTTGATGAAATTTTCACACTACTAGTATTTGAAGTATTAAAATGTTCTCCAAAATAATTTCTTTTAATCTAAATTGTGGCATTTGGACAAAGATGTAAATGTTTTTCACATCTAGATATTGAACTAGAATGTTGATATTAAAATGTTGCCAAATTGCAGGCAAGTTTAAAATATATATATATCATGAGAAGAGTATTAATTAATTTTTATGTGTAATATTACATCTATTATTTGGCAATAACCTAAACAGGAATTGATTTACATTTACTACTATATTTTTCTAGAACTATATGCAATATACATATCACATATAGTATTATACATATAGTACTGATTTACCCATCTCTAGGGGTGATGATGATGGTGGTGGTGGTTGGGATGATGAAGATATAAAAGAAGAGATTAAAATAAATCAAAAATTAAAATTAGATTTAGTGTGGAAGGATAATAATTTATTGGAAAAGAACAAAACAAGGTCCATACATGAAAGGCAAGATACCAAAATCAATATACTATGATAAATTTGGTCCAAATGAGGATTGGTTGATAATGCCCACTCTGTAAATCTTGACCATGCTAATAAAATTTTATAATATAGATAGATAGACTAATTGATTAATAATAAATGAATAGTATAATGAAAAATTTCTACCTAACCACCTTCCTAACCATGGAATTATAAAAACCATCAACATTTGTTGTAACTGTTCAACAAATTCCTCCCAGTCTTCCTCAAATTCCAAAATATCATCATTATCAACAACAATACCTTCTATAATAATGTCTTGTGTGTTATTATTTTCATCATTCTGAAAGTTAGTTCTATAACTTGATGATCTGTTAATACCATTACTATTGTTGATATTGTGATTATAATTTATGGGAATGTTCCTTAAGGACTCATCAGTATAAAACAGGAGAGAACATACTGGGAACACAAAATTAACAGGAGGGAACACAAAAATTTAACCCATGCAATTTTGTTGATTGACCAATTAAAATC